CAAATTTAAAGCTGGAAGGTCACTGGAATTTAGAAAAGAATTATAACTACATGGCTTTTTAGATTTTTGGTACGTGCATTAAGAATTGTGTACAGGTTGTTCATAATGTCTCTGTACTGGCCCTTAAAACAACCAATAAAATATCAACCATGAAAGAATATTTTCATGTTTATTGATTAAAAAAAAAAAAGAAATGATATAATGGTGGTATTGCTGTACAGAGGTAACTGGTGGTTACTGTGATGCTGAACACTGTGACACTGACGTGTCAAATGTGATCATGGTTATCCATGGGGGACAGTGTTTGGTGGAGCTCCCCGATTAAAACAAGCTTGGAAGCAGGAGTGGAATCCACTTCTGAAATAGCTTGTCTCTGGAAACCCTATGAACTTTAAGAAATTATGAAAGTTATGCAAGTGTTCGAGCCTTTCATTCGTAGGGTCCATATGAGTCGTATTTGACTTGACAGTGTTTAACAACAACAACAACAACAATAATAAGCAACAAAGGCTGTCAGGGGCCCACTAACAACAACAGACAACAAAGGCTGTCAAGGGTCCGCTACCAACAACAAAGGGAACAAAGTCTGTCAGGGACCCACTAGGCTGGATTGCCGAGAGGAAAAGAAAGTGTCCCTCTATTATCACTGAACCTGGGGATTTGGAAGAAAAGTGAACTTTGGAGATAGGGTGTGGGAAAACATAAATTTTATTCGATTGTTGTTAGGCTAAAAATCAAAATGGAGATTGAAGCTCAACTCAGAAAGTCCCATGACAGGACTTTCCCTGAAACAGAAACTTAACAAATAAAACGAAGTAATAGAAACCTAACAGGGAGATAGAAACTTAAAATACCAATGAGTTACTGCAACGCAAACCCACGCTATAACTCTCCTCACTGTACTAACCAATAATGAAACACCACACTTCCTAAAGCACTGTGTAAGCTCTTCCAAATCTAACCCCCACTACTTCTCTCTTTACTGAGTATCCCCGTGTGCAATAAACTTTGAGAAGTGTTTGTATCTTGGGTGTGGTTCTTGGCGTGTGATCCAGAACCTTTAAATTGTTACACAGGAGAGGGGGGAAATGATCTTCCCAAATCTATCTCCTAATCTTGGAGAGGGCGATTATATTTACACATTGTTGCAACTGACAATAAGAGCATAGAACAACTTGTTGAGCAAAAGGACTCTCTTAAAACTAATAGGTTTATGTTATTGTTGCTGCCATGTGCCATGGAGTAAGACTCACAGCAACCCTAGAAACAGCTGATCTGAGACCTTTCCTATCCTCTTCCTTCCTGATCGCCTCTGATACACTTCAGCCCATCAGGTGCTGATACTGTATCAGTTCCATCTGGTTGAAAGTCTTCCTCACTTTCACCGAGCCTTCCACTTTTCCAAGCATGATGTCCTTCTCCAAAGAACAGCCTCTCCTGGCAACATGCCCAGAGTACGTGAGCTGGAACTTTGTCATCTTTGCCTCCAAGCAGCACTCTGGCTGGACTTTATACCAAGACATACCTGTTCTTTTGGGAGTCTATGGGATATTCAGCACCCTTCTCCAATACCACAGCTCAAAGCCATCAACTCCCTGTCATCTTTATTCATTGTCCGGCTCTCAGATGCAAGTGATTGGAAAGACCATGGCCTGAATCAGGTGCACCTCTGTCTTCAAACTGACATCATTGCTCCTCAGGAATTTGGAGATGTCCTTGACTGCAGACTTTCCCAGTGCAATGAATCTCCTGATTGCTGCTACCAAGAGTTGTTGATTATAGATCTAAGGAATATGAAGACATTGACAATTTCAGTCTTCTCCATCTATAATGAGTTTGTCTCTTAATCCAGTAGTGTGGATTTTTGTCATCTTAATGTTGAGATATAATCTGTATTGAAGTGTTTAATCTTCTGTTGCAAGCCCTTCAAATCCTCCTTGCTTTCAGCAAATAAGGCTGAATAATGGTTTATGAGTCTTTAAACATTTTCTCACAACAAAATCAGATAATTTGATTTTGTGGCCTCATTTCTGTCACCAAGTCCATACTTTTCAACGACCATACCTTCTTCATTGTTTCCACCTTCTGCATCCCAGCCACCTGTTACCATTAACATATCTTGATTGTATTTTTGGTTCATATCAGACTGCAAAATTTGGTGAAAATCTTTAATTCCTCTCTCTTTGACTTTAGCTGTCAGGAAGTATATTTGTATAATATTCATATAAACAGGTCTTCTTATATATGTAGGAATAATATCCTATAATTCACAAGATAGTATTTCTTTATAGAACTTGAAATTATCTTTTTACTAGGAATGCAAAAACATTCTTCTGCTATTTTTCATTTCCAGTATAGTATACATAGTGACTGTCTGATTCAAAGTGGCCAATCCATCTCATTTCATTCATGCCTAATATGTCAACGTTTATATGTTCCATTTCATTTGTCATGGGAAAAATAGAGTACAGTCCTAAAAAGGGGTTTTTTTTCCCATTTAAAGTTGACAAATCATGTTTTTCAAACATCCATACCTTTTGTTACATAACTGCAATTGATATAATTGTGTCTGTTTAAGCCCTTATTAGAAGTCTTGCCTTTCACCTAACTTATCTATTTCTTTTCACTCCCCTCTCCGTCATCTTTAGAAATCATCGAGGACTGATTCTGTGTTTAAACCTTAACTTTGTGTAATAGAGGCTTTTATACCATAATTGTTATTTTTTAAATTTTATTTTATTATTTGTGTGTACCGTCAAATCAGATCTGACTGGTACAGGAGGAGATTGTCCCTCTTTCCCCGGCAGAGCGTCTGGTGGATTCGAACCGTGCGTGTCTGGGATTGTAGTGCAGCTTCTTGCCACTAGGCCACCAGAGCTCCCCTATAATTGTTATTTTTTTTAACTTGTCTCACTCGGTAACACAGGTGATCGCCAATCATTTTGATTTGCATTCTTCCAACAGCAAATGACCCTGAGCGCTTACTCATGTGGTTGGCAGTTATGTGATATAAAATTGGGTGTGACATGTCCTTCCATGTTCTTTTGTCCCTTCTGTAACCGAGTTGTTTTTTCTTGTTGATGTGGTCAAGTCTATATATATTTATTAATTTTAATGAACATTTACAGAGACTTTGGATTTTCATTCATTAATTGTTGCACTTTTCACCCTGCCCAGCCCTCCCCCTCAGTTCACTCCTCTCTCTGAAAAGTAAAAGAAAAATTCTTTCATTGGTATACATTCCCCCCGCAACCGCTCCCCCCGACACCGCCCCAAGTACACTCCACTATGCAACCTTAATTCTGGACTCCTTTGATAACCATAATACCCTATCATGTATCGCTTTTAAATTGTTCTCTCCCTCATCTGTTTCAAGGAAGTATACATAATTTATCCCGTTTTTTTTCAGTCTTACCCCAACCCTGATGTCAGTCCCATTCTACAACAGTGGCACCATGCAGTATTTGTCCTTTTGTGACTGAGATACCTCAGCATAATGTCCTCCAGAGTCACCCATTTTGGATAATATTGCATGAGTTCCTTGTTTTTTCAATGCAGCGCAGTATTCCATTGTGTGGATATACCACAGCTTCTCTATCCATTTGTTTGTTGATGGGCACTTGAGTTATTTCCAACTCCTTGCTATTGTGAACAAAGCTGCAATAAACACGGGTGTGCGTGTATCTGCTTGGATGTCAGTTATGGTTTCTTTAGGGTATATTCCCAGTAGTGGAACTGCTGGGTCAAATGGTATCTCTATTTGCAACTTTTTGAGAAAGCGCCATACCACCTTCCACAGTGGTTGCACCATTTTACACTCCCACCAACAGTGAATGAGGGTTCCAGTCTCTCCACAACCTCGCCAGCATTTGTTGCTTGCTGTTCTGTTAAATTTTGCTATTCTGACTGGGGTGAGATGGAGCCTATATATTTTTTGAGATGAGTGCCTTGTCATGCATGGCAGACAATTCTTAACCTTTACCCCTAACTCTCCTACACCTGCATGGTTTATCAGGGTTATATGGCTTTACCAGATGATGGTGGATCACTCAGTAACATAGCTTCCACATTGTATCATTACATGCATGTGCGTGTAGCAGGCACACTTTAATCCATGACACTTCTTATACCCATTCTTCCCTGTTTCACCTACCTTAGATATGGCATACATTGGTTGGACTTGCAGAACTGTGCTGAAGTGTACGGTGCACAGCCTACTGAAGGCACTACAACCTTCCTTTTCATTCCTGGTGCCACAGAACTCAGTAGCTCTCCTGAGGGTCAGTGATGAGTGCGTTCTCTGACTCACGGCACGCAGCAGCAACATTCTCTTTTACCTCTCCAGAGTTCATATCCAGCAGATACTGTCCCACAATAGTTAGGAGCCCACTGATGCTTACTGATGTGGGAGTTGCTACTGGAGACATCTGCACAGTCACTGTGTTAAACAGGGCTTTTTCTCCTGTGGGTGAGCACTGCTGTGGTGAGATGTGATTTGTGGTGGGAGATTTTTCAGCCTCGACTGAATGTACACATTTCTCTTTCATCCTCTCATTGAAAGAGAGGCAAAGGTCTGTCCACATTCCTACCAGTTATGACGTCTCACCTTTATAAGATCTTTCAGGGACAATAAGCTCAAGATTGACGTTGATGTTCCAGATGTTGAAGGTTTTCTGACAATACACTGCACTGAAAGGATTTCTTATCTATGAATTCTCTCTACTGAGACTTGACTCCTGGGCATAACGTTCTCTATCGTCACTACATGCAGAGGAGCTCTTCCTTGTCTGAAATATTGAATTTTTTTTATTTTGTTTTTGTTATTTTTGTGTGAGTGTACCGTCAAATCAGATCTGACTGGTACAGGAGGAGATTGTCCTTCCTTCCCCGGCAGAGCATCTGGTGGATTTGAACCGTGCGCCTCTGGGATTGTAGTTGCAGCTCCTTGCCACTAGACCATCAGAGCTCCCCTGAAATATTGAATTTAATATAAGGCATGACTTGTAGTTGAAGTCTTTATAAACTTCACTGCCTATATATAGTTTCCCTCCTGTATGAGTTTGTTTTTTGTTTTTTTTTTAAAAAAAAAAGATATTTCTCTTGTGTTTGAAGTCTTTTCCACATTCACTGCACACGTTGGGATTCTTTCCAATGTGAGTTCCTTGGTGAACAGTGAGGTTTCCCTTGAGGATAAAGCCTTTACCAACTTTACCACATTTATCTAGATGTGGTTTCTCACCAGTGTGAGTTCACCAATGACCAGAGAGATCTGCTTTCTGAACAAAGCCCTTCCCGCACTCACTGCACATACAGAGTTTCTCTCCATTATGAGTTCATTGGTGAATGATGATATTTTTGTTATAGATGAAGGCTTTCCCACCCACACTTACCACGTACACAGGATGTCTCTCCAGTATTAGTTTGCTTGTGAATAATGACACTTCCTTTCTGACTGAAACCATCTTCACACAACATTTAGGCTTTCTCTCCAGTGTAAGTTCACTGCTGAATAGTGAGTTCTGTCTTCTGGATGAAGCCTTTACCACAGTCACTGCATTGATAGAGTTTCTCCCTAGGTAAGTTTACTGATGGACAGTGAGGTGATTCTTAACTGAATCTCTCCCACGAATGAGTTCACGTATGCAGAGTAAGATCTGACTTCTGGGTGAAGCTTTTCCCAGAGGCCCTACATACATGGCATTTCTTAATTTAGTGCATTTTCTGACTAGTGTTGAGTTATGAATAGTATTTTCTGCTGCAGTATGTTTACAGCACTGTCTAGTTCTCTTGACTCTTATTTTGAACCACACAAGCAGACGATCGTGAACTTCCCAGGTTTCTAGGAAAGAAGAAAACAATCACCCCTCCCGTCAGCTTGCGCTGTCATGGATACATTTAAAAATAATGTTACTGATTTAAGGTAGCTCTCGAGTGGCAACCTGCTGACAGCAGTATAAACAATGTACTAGGCTTATTGCCCCTTGAATGTCAACAAAAGATAAGCCACGGCCCTCCAGGCGGGGCGGGGCCAAGCGCGCACGCTTGCGCACTAGCGGGCTTGTGCCCACGTTCCCGTGTCTTGAGGGCTAGTTTTGCGGGTCTCTCCTTGCCGCGGAGTAGCGGGAGTAAGGTGCAAGCTGCAATGATCAGAATCATGGCAGGACAGGCATTTAGAAGGTTTCTTCCCCTCTTTGACTGAGTATTGGTGGAACGGAATGCAGCTGAAACTGTAACCAAAGGAGGCGTTATGCTTCCAGAAAAACCTCAAGGAAAAGTATTGCAAGCAACAGTAGTAGCTGTTGGATCCGGATCTAAAGGAAAGGGTGGAGAAATTCAGCCCGTCAGTGTGAAAGTTGGAGACAAAGTTCTTCTTCCAGAATATGGGGGCACCAAAGTAGTTATAGATGACAAGGATTATTTCTTATTTAGAGATGGTGACATTCTTGGGAAGTATGTGGACTGAAATAAATCACTATTGAAATGGCATCATGTGAAGCTGCCCATTCCACTGAAGTTCATCTGAAATCTTCCATCATGTAAATAATCTCTATGTGTCTCTTTTGTAATAAACTAATGATATCCAAACTAAAAAAAAATAATAATAATAATAAGCCACAAGCTGTGACCAGTCAGGGCAGGGTCTGCAACCTTGACCACATCCAGACACTTCTCCTTTTGGTGTTTTCCCCTGTGAAGGGAAAGGCTGGTTGCATAGAAGGAAGCTTTCCCACATTCTTGGCAGCTGTAGGGCATCTCCCCATGTGTGCGATCTCTGATGCACGGTGACATCTCCCTTGGTCCAGAAAGGCCTTCTAGCACTCACTGCAATGGAAGGGCTTCTTGCCCGCATGGATCTTGTGATACCTGTTGAGGCTCGACTTCTTAGAGCAGCACTTGCCACGGTCGCAGTGCGAGAAGGAGAAATTGCCCATGTTAAACCTCTGATGGGCGATGAGGCAGGAGTTCGGGATGAAGTCCTTGCCACACTCCTTGCACAAGCGGCTTCTCCCCCGTCTGAATTCACAGGTCGGTGGTGAGCCCTACCTTCTGGTGGAAGCCCCAGTTCCATCCCCACACATGTAAGGCTTCGCTCCCCTGTGAGTTCTCTGGTGGATGGTGAGACTTCCCTTTTTTAACCTTTGCCACACTCACTGCACAAGTAGGGCTTCTAGCCATTGTGTTTCTGCTGGTGGGTTATGAGACCACCCTTGTATATGAAGCCTTTGCCACACTCGACACAGACATAGAGCTTCTCTCTCGTGTAGATTTGTGATGGACCACGAAACTGCCCTTGTGGTTGAAGCCTTTTCCCCAGTCCCTGCATATACAGAGCTTCTCCCCTGTGTGAATTCGCTGGTGCAGGGTGAGAGTGGTCTTTATGCACAGGAAAGTACTGACCCTCAGCAGGAAGTTAATTTTCATTTTATGGAGAACCATGGTGTGTGTGGGTTACCTGGAAAAACTATGTGGTCAGACTTAACTTTACCAGCAATCCACCAGAGAAAAAGAAATCAAAGGAAAAAAATCAGCTGAGCTTAATGGACATGAAAAAAAACCTTGCCCCATAGTGATTGTGACCAACTTTGCACTGAAGTGAAGTTCCCAGAGTGTCAGAAATCTAAAGAGCACTAAGGTCCAACTCCAAACAAGTCAGAAAATGCACAAAATTAGGAAATGTCATGTCTGTGGGATGTGTGGGAAAAGCTTCACCCAGAAATCAGATCTTACTCTGCATCAGCAAACTCATACTGGGGAGAGACTTTTAAGTGTGCAGGGAGTGTGCAGAAGGGTTCATCAGGAAGAATGACCTCGCTCCCCATCTGCAAAGTTACACTGGGGAGAAACCCTATAAATGCAGTGAACGTGCTTGACCCTTCATCAAGAAGACAGAACTCACTACCCACCAGCGAACTCACAGTGGAGAGAAAGCCTTTATGTGTGTTGAGCGTGAAAATGCTTTCATTCAGAAAGGAAGCATCGCTATTCACAAGTAAACTCATACTGGAGAAAAACCTAATGTACGTGGTAAGTGTGGGAAAGCCTTCATCCATAATAGAAATTTATAATTCAACAATGAAAATCTTATCACTCATCAATGAAGTCATAATGGAGAGAAACCCAGTATGTGCAGTGAATGTGGGAAAGGCTTGGTTCATAAAGGAGATCTCTCCGGTCATTGGCAAACTCACACTGGTGAGAAACCACGTCTATACAGGGAGTGTGGAAAAGCGTTCATGAGGAGGAATAACCTCACTGACCATCAAGGTCTTCCTCTCATCTTGCTGAGGGCCTTGATTCTTTTTTGTCCTGTATAAGCTGAAGGAAAAACTCAGACGTATTCTGTGGGGATCAGGCGTCAGCACATTTCGACCTCAGCATGTGTCTACTCAGTGTGTTTAGAGGTATAGTAGCAATACACCAACTGGAAAAAGCCAGTTGACTCAATCTGTGTAAACATATGTCTTGATATCAAGGCATAATATAGTGTTAGCAGAAACACATACATATCTATGAATATTGTTCTATGAATTATTCAAGTAATGAAAATCTGAGCTAATACTTGTATAATAAATGAATTTTAAAATAGACAAGATCATCAGTACCTAGAATTCTTTGGTACATTTAAAACCATATGGAGGATGGTTGGCAGAAGAGGCAATATTGAATTGGAGGGTTGGGAATTAATTTTCCCCAGAAAAGCGTGAGCGATTCAACAAAACCCAAACTGTCTACCAGACAAAGTTAACCTTTCTGTTTTCCAGAAGTCCCTATGAAAAAGTGTTCCACTAAGTCTATTGCATAACAAGTAACTTGTCTTATAGTACCTTTTACCTGACCCTCTTCCCATGAGCTGAGGATAAAAGTGGTAAATAAAATGTCATGTCTCATGCTTCTCTAGAGAAAGCATGGAGTTGAACTATATTTGAGTGAGATATTTCCAGTTCTGCAAGTCTAATCAAAGTATGCCATATCTAAGGTGAAATAGGGAAGAATGGGTACAAGAAGTGTGAAGGATAAAAGTGTGCTTGCTACAAACACAATGTATGCAATGATACAATGTTGAAGCTATGTAATGAGTGATTCCCCCATCATCTGAGAAGCCACATAGTTGTAGGAGAATTAGGGGTAAGGGTTACGAATTGCCAGACCTATCTGACAAGGTCTTCATCTCAAATATGTGTAGATGACCTGACCACCTCAACAAGAAAAAAACAACCCACTTACAGAAGAGATAGAAAAACCTGGAAGGACATGTCACGCCCAATTTTATGTCACATAACAAACAACCACATGAATAAGTGCCCAAGATCATTTGCTGTTGGAGGAATGCAAATCAAAACAATATGCGATCACCTGTTTCAGTGACACATGTTAACAAATGACAATTATGGTATTAAAAACTCTACTATACACAGTTAAGGAAAAAGTTTATACACAGAAACAGCCCTCGATGATTTCTAAAGATGACAGGGGAGTGAAAATAAATTGATAAGTTAGGTGAAAGGCAAGACTTCTAATAAGGGCTTAATCAGACATGATTCTATAAATTGCAGTTAATGTTTTTTTGAAAAAAAATGTATGTTGTTGTTGTTATGTGCCGTCGAGTCGTTTGCGACTCATAGCGACCTTATGTACAACAGCCCTAAACCCTGCTCTATCCTGTGCCAATCACATTGCCTCTGACACACCCATCCCGATTACCCCAGTCACTGAATCAATCCACCTCATAGAGGGTCTTCCCCTCCTGCGCTGTCCCTCTACTCTACCCAGCATGATGTCCCTCTCTAAAGACCTGTCTCTCCTCACAACATGTCCACAGTATGTCAGATGAAGCCCCGGAATCCTTGCCTCCAAGGAGTAGCCTGGTTAAATCCTCTCTAGGATGAATCTGTTTTCTTGGCAGTCCATGGTACATTCAATACTCTTCTCCAGCACCACAGCTCAAAGGCGTCAAATGGGGGAAAACTTTATAGGAGTGAAAAATTAAATGGAATCAGAGTCACATTTTATAGTATGCTGAGAATGAAAACTAGAGGAAGAATGGTGTTCCATTCCTCGTTAAAAAAGGCTTTGTGCACTGATCTGCCCTCGGGCTGATGGCCCCCATGCTTCCTATCCATGGACCCTTTCTGCCCTTGTCAGATAATCGGGTTGAATTCTACCCTGCAAAAAGTGTGGCTTGTAAATTTTTGCTGTAGTGAGCTGCTGGGTTTAGAGTTTTGCTGCCAAACAAAAGGCAGTCAGTTAGAATCCCCCAGCAGCTGTCCACTAACCTCCCTTCTGATTTATAGACCCAAAAATTCCACGTGAAGGTCAGTTTTGAGTCAGTTCTAACCAGATCACTGAATGAGACCCAGGTAGAGAGCTTTGGTGGAGCTCTGGAGGGAATTGCACATGCCTTTGTGGCATTTGAAATCCAGCCGAGGCTCTGTGGTTAATTCTCAAGATTCTCCACACAAAATTCACCATGTTCAGATACAATCATGTGATGAAACTTAGTAAGATTGTGACTGAATGCAAGGGGTTCTTTCAGTCGCCAATAAGACAAACGGATTGCAATATCCATAAGCACTTTATTATGCAGATCTATCTGGGAGACAGTAAGTCATCTCTAAGACTGCCTCCCTGTCTGAGAATGGTCATCAGGTTTTATAAGAGGGTGAGATATACAGGGTACTTTTGTTAGTAAAAAAGAATTTCTACATTTGAAAAGAATAGTTTATATTAAGTACTAATAATTCAGGGGGTCACTTGGGCTCAGTCCTTTTGCTGGTAAACAAGGAGATTAAGATAAAATTTACATATGACTGAGAAACAGCCTCACAGAGAGATCTAGGAGAGATGCATTTCCTCTTCCAGTAAACAGACAGGTCAAACTTATTTACATGACTAAAAAAAGGAAACAGAACTCGGAGGCTAAGTAACTACTTTTGCAGGCTGAAGAAAACTGATGTTAGATTTATAATTATGTAACTATAGTTTTTTAACTGATACCTATATAGAGAATTCTGAACTTTTTAATACCACCCTATCAAGTTTATGAACTAGAAAGGCCATATGAGAGTGATCCATTGCACCGTGTAAAAATAATGTAGAAATGACATTTCAGCTTTTTTAACTTCACGAGGAGGACAAATCCTGATTCACTGAACCACACCCAGCATGGAATACTGCAATTAATTCTCCTTTGAAAACGTTGGTCCATGTCTGGAGGGTCAAATGTACACTCATTGTGGGGGATATATACTGCAGACTTTGGTTGTGTATTTAAGGAATATATATGACCTCAGTCTGATTTAAATATGATAGGAGATATCTAAGTGGAGAAAGAGAGGAAGCACTTAAACAACAGAAATTGCCACCTCAGCTGTGATACTGGGCTCAAGCGTGTCAGAATTGGTGAGGATTGTGCAAGACGGTGTTTCACGGGGTCACTGTGAGTTGTAGTTAATTCAGCAGCTCCTAACGAGTGTTTCTCATAATGGTTGTACAACTCTATTGTTTGTCCAGCTGACTTCAGGTTATAGTTAATGCTCTAATGTGTTATTTTTGAGTGAGTCCCTGACTGTCTAGCATAGTATCAGAGGCAGTAAATTGCCCTGATGGCAAGAGATTGTTCATCTTTCTCCCTTGAAGTGACTGGAGGATTCAAACTGCCTACCTTTGGTTCCGTAGCACAACTCATTGCCTCTAAGCCACCAGAGCTTGGTGTTAAGCATGCTTTTAAATGCTAAGTTTAAAATATTTTTCCAGACCCTGCTATAAACTTCTCTTCCCAGAGTTTCATTTCTTTGTCATTCTTGTCGAGAATCACATTCGACCACAATTTTTTTTAAATTTAATTTAATTTTATTATTTTTTGTACGTGTACCGTCAAATCAGATCTGACTGGTACAGGAGGAGATTGCCCCTCCTTTTCCAGCAGAACATCTGGTGGATTCAAACAGTGTACTCGACCACAATTTAAAAGCTTTATATAATGGGAGGTAAGGTTCAAGCTCCTATTTTTTTTTTTCTTTCATATG